TCAACGTTTATTAGAACCACAAGTAAAACCTATTTACTCACAACTGTGATTCTGAAGAATGATGTTAAATTTACTTAGAATGTAATAATTTATTTGTGAACTTTGTAATTCCCCTTTCCCAGAAAACAAGTAGTGCTATTCAAATGGTAATGCTCTGATTTGCTCCATATTTAAAAAGAAAAACAAGGAGGCAACGCCAGCTTTTCAACTGGCATTGAAAATTGAGGAACTAGAATGCAGTCCTTAAAAGAGACATTCAGGTGTGACCTTCATAATAAAAATTACTAACCAGGTAGACTGTTATGCTTTCATAACATGAATATTTGGCTGAAACCATTTGATAAAATATTTGTTTCCGTGTATGCATATTAGAAATAATCATTCATATGCCAGCATTTTCTTATGAGAGTCTTCTGGAATTCAAATTATTTACATTATGCTGAGTTGCATATAGAACATCTATAACAAATAGACTAATAATAAATGAAGTGAACATTTATATAAAAACAATTCCAAGTTCTTTTACGTTTCTGTTCAGTATCAAGCAGCGTGTTGAAAATGCATATTTCATAAAACCACATGCAAGGCTTTGTGATCGTGAAAAAATCACCTCACAACAGCCACATGTCTAGGCAATTCCTTAGAAGCTGGTATGGACCTCACACAGACATTCCAGAAGAAAATACATTGCTAGAAAGTAGTTTCTCTTGAAGTGACTTAGAGTATGTGTGAGCCTATTAGGCCACTTTGATAAATAAATAAAAGTCTTTTTTCTATTGTAGCACAAAACTGGTTCAACTGGAGGGCAAGTTAAACCCTGGTTCATATTTTACTTAGTTGTGTTCTTTCCCTTTTTATTTTAAGTGGTCTCTTAGTTTGTTGTTGCTGGGTTGTTTTTTGTTTTGTTTTGTTTTTTTTTTTCTTAAGACAGAGAACCATTTGGCTTTGGGTTATCTGAATTTTGCCTTCTGGCTTTACAGTATATCTCTGTGAAACTCCTTTCCAAGAAAAAACTCAGTGTCCCAGGATTATCAGTGTACTACTTTAGCTATGGTTTTCTTTCAAAATTTATGTGATTAAACCAATACAGAGTTCCTCTGAACAATCTGAAATTAGTGCAGACCTGACTTAGAGCAAATAGTATTGTCAGATACAAGTTTTATCTAAAGAACTTGTTGAGACTGCAACTATATTTAACTATATTCAAACTGTATTTTTCTATCTCAGATGCTTCTGTTGATTCTTTGAAAGACACCATGTGCTGCCTTTAGTACTTAGACTAAATTTAGTCATCTATATCAAGCCTAAATTAGGCCTAAAGCAATCCACAAGCTTTTTTAATGCTGCTCTCCTCTTGCCATGCATTGGGGACAGACATCTGTGTGCCTCCCCTTTGGCACTTTCTGGTACTCACACCCCAAGTGCAGCGGAGTTGGCTTTGGCAGCCTTGCAGTCAGTCACAACTTCTAATGTCAGAACTGGACATTGACTAAACTGGGATTTATGTAATGGTAGCTACCTATCTATTGGTTGGTTTTTTCAGCTGAAGCAATCTCTGTGGATGATTTTCACTTGCTATGTTTATTATGTTCATGCCTGTATTTCCTCTTTATTCTATTTTTACTGCATGGAATCAACCAATCCTTAGTTACTTGGGTTTCTTTTCAGCTTTAAAAAGAAACCCCTAATAAAAGCAAAGTTCTAAAAGCAGTACTTTCATAGGAATAGCTGAAATTACAGTTTCGTATAACTTTTGGACACATTCCTTCACACCTAAACTTTTCACACCTAAGAACTAAAGATGGGGAGCAGAAATACAAGCACATTTTCGGGGATTTATACAGTTTTTCTAAGCAAGAAGGAAATCCAAAGGAGTCCAACAGTTTGTTACATTCTACGGTTGATTTTCAATTTAAGCCTAAACTTTCTTCAGTGTGTCTTTCATATGAAATAACATAAACTGGCCTATCTTGTATCCATACAGTTTTAGAACTAATTGGTACATTCAAAGATTTTCTATGCTCCTCAAAGCTACTGAATGCCTCCCCTTTCCATAGCAATACCAAGTATGCATTCTGTCATTTTAGTTCATTCTCCTGTGTAAACCACAGCCAGTCATTTAACTTGTTCAGTGTTACAGCTGATGCAAGAAATCAATTTGTAGCTTTACTTTGTAATGCACAGCACTGACTTTCATTCCTCAGGGTGTCATATCTCCACTTGGGAAGGAGTCAAATTAAAAAGTATGGTTCTTACTTTTAGGTTACGTTTTGCTATCTAACCACCATGCGCAAAAAGGTTAAGTGTCTTTTCAAATTAAGGCAGCAGTAATTAACCAGTGGCATTGTTTGTGGTTTGCCAACTCTGGGCGTTAATGAGAGAGAAATTAGCAGTTAGCAGCAGGAGTTCCTGATAGTCAGTGGCAAATGCTTAATGGGCCAACAAGTTTATTTTGGTCTTAAGTACTGCACTTAAGTGCAGTAAACAAAAGTATGGCATGGGTTTTTATGTGATCACACACATGAGCTTTATGATATAGAGCTATAATAGAACAAATGACACAATAGAGTTGAAAAAGTGCAACCTAGACAGCACAGGGCAGACAGTTTCACTGCAACGCTATAGACTGAAGCAGGATTGATGGATGTTTTCATCCAAAGATGTACTTGCTCCTGCCATTAACAGTCTGCAGATGTTCTTGTATATAATTTTATTATCAAATTTGGTATTTCTGAACATAATTTTTTAAGCACCTCAAAAGTTGTGCTTGAGCTGAGGTGATTTGCTCACAAGACATAAATTAGCCTTTTGAGGTGTCTCGAAATAGTAATTTTATTTAAAATTACAGTTTCAAAAAATAACTAAACAAATTACTTAAGCACAGTGCCACATGTACTTTATGGTGAATGGGGGATTCAGACTGCCACACAGCAAAATGAGCCCTTCAGAACTTGGGTGAGCAGCTGCTCATTAGCATCAGGATTTTACCTGGCACATGTGCTCATAATGAGTAACTACTTGCATACATTTCATACCTTCTGCCTTGCACAAAATAGCCCATTAGAAATGTAAGGTCTGCTCCCTATCTTCTGGGGATTTGTGCTTTTAAAATAATTTTGGTTAGTACATAAGTACATTCCCACCCGATTACCCATTTCTATATTTGCTTGATGTGGGAGCAGATACGTCGTCTGTGTAGTAACAAAAGTGGGGGCCCCTCCTGGATCAGCAAACTGCTGTCTCTCACCAGAGCTGTGAGCATCAGTCCTTGGCCTCACTCGCCTTGGCCCCTCGCTCCTGCTTGAGTCTGGGCTTGGGTGCAGTGAGTCTCTGCACGTTTTGGCCCCACAGGAGCTTAAGCAATGGACAATGGAAAGAAGTCCATGGAAGCTGAAGTTGTTGGCCAACCAGGCAAAATTAGGAATTGGGTATAGGCAGCATCATCCTTCATTTTAGTCTGTACGGTATTTATTGCCAGGCATGTTAGGATACGTTACCTAGTACAACCAGATGTGTCAGAGTTTTAACCTTTCAACTTTCGAATATCACCTTTCAGTTGCAAAAAGCATATTTGCCAGTGTGGCCTCATCTATGCTGAGGGTAATTTACTCTGCCACTGAACTGTGGCCACTTGGAGGTTGAAGAGTAGTAGCCATAGACCAAAATGTTACAAAGCTCTGCAGCAGTTTCAGGCAAAAGAGTACCACATCTAATTGAAACTGCAGGAGCTAGCCACAGGGGTTTCTTCTTCCTTTGATGCCTATTCCATTACACAAGCACATCAAATAGAGTTTTCTCCGCATTGTTGGAAAGAAACCACCCTCATGAAGCTGGTCTGGCACTACCCATGGCTTTGAGTGCTTGTATTGTCTGTTCAGTGGACATTTAGTTACTGTGCCTCCTCTCAGCACATATTTATTAAAATTAAATGTTAACAAAAATTGGCTACCATATTGGTTGAATCCTGAGTAACTCTGCATATAAACCATTACATGACATTCAATTGAACTTTTTCTTGTACAGACGGTACCTAACAGCTCATCCTGCACTGTTGGTTTTGGCAAGTTCACTACAGCATATAATAAATCAAGGAAAGAAAAAGCTTTTTGGCCTAATGTTGTACAGACTGCTGTAATGCTAGACTACAGAAAGCAGTTCTGTTTTTAGACATCCTTTTACTAACCCAACATTCATAATTTATGATTCCACTGTAAAATTCCTGCAACACTACACCAGAAGTAGTGCTGCCCTTTAATTAAGTGCTCTCAGTAGGAAAAACGTGAAACTGATGTGCAAAACATATCGCAGTACACAGTGATTGATAGTGATTACTTCTTTATGAACCCAGCCTGAAGGTCTGAACTTCCTGATGGGTAAAATAGTCCATGGGGCTACTTCCTGAGATTGCCTAGTGGGGATCAGTCAGAGTTAGCAATATCTGAGGAATTCCTGAGGCACATTTCAGAGCCATTGTGACACAAACTTTCTGTTCCTTCTGAATTGTACTTTATGTTAATACTTATCTGAATAATAGCTCATTGTAGAGATTATATTTTAAGGATTTGTTGTTATCTTCATAGTATTATAATTTGAATGAACTGGGACATGTGTAAAACCTTGTATCTTTAATGTCTGCACACACAAATCTAAAAGAGCAGGGTGCATGTCAAAAGAGTTATCTCTGTGCATCACAGTTACTAAATGTTATTTAGTATTTAATACATGGGTATTTTTTACTGACATGTGCAGAAGATTCCAAAGTAAAAAACTGAAACACTGATGTGGATTCTATAGGTCTCTAAATAGCATTTTTATTCATGGAATCAGGTACTATTGACATTGATCAATTGCGTATTCAAAATTTGAAAATTAAATGGGGATTAAATACTCCCTCCAATTTTGCAGTGAAGTTACCAGATTTGTGTTGGAATCACAAAGGGGGGACATTGAAATTCCCCTAACACGGTTACATAAGTTCATTTTTCCATTCTGTTTGATAGATTTGGCCCTGGATTAGTCATCTACTGGTACGGATTTATTGAAGAGCTGGACTGCCATCGTGAACGTGGTATCCTGCTAAAAGACTGCTTCCCTACTGACATTGTGACTCTGCGACACAGCATGGCTCAGCGCTGATGTTGGGAGGAAGAGGTAAATCCGGAAGCAATTTTACTTTCCTGCAGTGTAAACTAATGGCAGCATCTGCCCTGAACTTCAGCTGAACTCCTGCTGCCTGCCCTTATGCTACTGCTGCTTTACACAAACATATCAAGAGTTTCTGTTTTGCTTCAGACCTCTGTTGTGATCAGCCAAAAAAGACAGACACAACCCACTCATTATCAGCAGTTCTGTCTCTGTCAAACTGCTGGTTTCAAGATACTCGTAATCTTTCCTCCTTCCGGATGGCTTCTTCAAGCATTCTAAACAAAGACAAAAAAAATGCAGAGGCTGAAGGTGGAGCTTTCAGTTCTTTTCCCTGTTACAGAGTCACTTATAAAGTTAAGTGCTTTTTATGAATTCATTATGTGCTAGTGATGTGACTAAAACACCTACAGTGATGTGTAGGTTTGGTGAAGACTGTTGTTTTGGGGCTTAAAACAATATAATGCAGAGCTGGTAAAGCCCAAGTGGTAAGAAAGGATCATGGCTGTTACAGTAAATAGCCAGATTGTGAGATAATAATTGGTGTATGTGTTTTGTCACTATCTGATTGTTAAAATCAACAATGGAATCCCAAGTTAACAGCTAAAAAATAGTTAGGAGATTTTGAGAGGAGGTGAAAGCAAAGAACACAGTTTCTATGTTATATATATATAAGCCTGTGAAGTTTGGGGGTAGTGTGGGTGAGGCTTAGTAAGTATTTTAATGACTTAAAAATAACTCACGTTTTGTCTTTTTCTCTTCCTCACCCCCAGGGAATCTATACCTAGGATTTTTTTCTCTTAACTGACTAAGGAAGGAATCTCTCTTTACCCCTACAGGTACTGTAGCAAATGTCTGGTACACTGAAGTCCAAAGGAACAACATGCAGGAGCTGTCTTTATGTGAGTTATTTCTGAAGGAGTTTATCATGCTGGTGTTCAAGGAGGGGAATCTAAAAAAAAGATACAGCAGTGCTTCATACTGGATCAGTTCCACAAGACGAATAAAACACACAAATGGACAGAAGTTTCCTGTGTACTTGTTTTCTTGTAAGAGCCTTGTTTTTCTCTTGTTAGAACCACCAAGATCGGAAGTTCATTGAGCTGGGTGTTAGCCCTTTGTGAAGTTTTGAGTTCAGTCTCTTCTTTTTCCATCCACATCGCCACTCAGAGGAGCAAGTTGGGTCTCAGGTTTGTGCTCTCAGACCTTTCTTAGTGACAGCAGCTTGTTGGACTTGACACACTTCAGTACTCTTCTCTGTGCTAGCTATTACTCAGGAAAGGACAAATATTTTAAAATGTCAGTGAGAGATTTGCATGTATGCTCATCATGTTCAGATTTTCTGAGAAGAAGAGCTATGGAATCAGCTGTAGAAATAAAGGTCTGATAACAGTCTCCCTAAAGCACAAGTTGGTGATCTTTTCCAGAAGGAAAGGGTCTCTAAAACATTAAAGTGCATATTCATCACCTTTTTTTAGGTGAAGTGATATGTGTGGAAAGGATATTAATCCTATTCTGGAGTTTTTCAGCTGTAGTTTTCAGATGCATACACAGTATTTTTATTTTTAATTTTTAGTTTTTGCCTTAAGACTTTCTGGTAAGTTTTAGACAGAAGTTTATAATTTTGAAAAATCTTTCATTTTCAAGAAAAAATGCCTTTAATCTTCTAGTACTCTGTCCCTTGCTGCAGAGATAAACTAGTATAGCTCTACTGAGTTATTGTTGTATAGAGATATTTTCTTCGGTTTGACTGTGTTCTAGTGAAGAGATTTGTTTTTAAAAAAATATTCAAGCACCTGTAACTCATTTGCATTCAGCTGTTTAAGGCGTTGTGCTGAGCTTATTTTACCTGACCAGCTGTAAGGTATCTGCCCATACAGGTTCACAGAAGCCATCTGTGAATGTACCTGCCTGATGCTACACACAAAAGCTACATTTAGGGTGTTAATCCCCCTGGGACTTTTGACTATGGTTTAGGTTTAACTATGGAATGTGTAAAATCAGCAAGAGAATAAAAAAGAAGGGATAACTGAAAAATGTCATTGTAGAAAATTCAGAAGTAATGGTTGTCTGAGTGAAATGGGCTTTAAAGGCAAACGGTATTTGTTTTAGCTACTGCATATGCTTTCTGTTGTATGAAATCATTTAAATCAGCTTTTACATGATACACTAATGCTGCTTTTTCTTTTTGAATAAATTAAATTTATCTGCACAGATGTTGAAAATTCTGCGAACCTTCATCAAAGCTTTGCTTGATTTGTTTTTACATTAAACAAATTTATGTGGAGACACACAGATAAATCATTTTAAGCTTATATTTGTGTATTTACTCCTCTACCTAATGACGTGATATAATAGGTTGGAAAGCAGTACAGCTGTCTTTAATCAGAGCCTTGAACTCATCTTCATATATTGCCCACTTAAAGAATCTGTATTAGAATGAGGATGAAATTAACCACAAAAGTCTATATACTGTACCAATTTTATTGCATGCTATCAAAAAAGCTTTGCCTCTACAAAAACTATGCTGTGTCACTATTTTAAATGCTGAACACAAAGCATAAAAAATTAGGACTGTTGTGTTATTACTACTTGTATACTGCAAAAAAAAAAAACCCTTTTATTTGGCTATTTTCGCTGTTTATCAGATGTAAACATCAACTTTTATATTAAAGAGGAAGACAGTGCTGTTTGTTTGTGGGTTTTTTCTTGGTTTGGTTTTCTTAAAGAGTGTTGTGGCCATTAGAACCTTAACATTAAAACCAAATTCAGTTTTATGGAGTATTCTGTAGAGTGTGCTAATGAATTATGCCAAGCTAGAAAACAGAAGTGAACATAAAACTGAATGATGTTCTCACTGGCATATATAGACTTGCAAGCATCTGCTCTTACAACCACTGTTATAAGACCTGTTCTGAGCTTTAGGAATTGATGTAATTGTATTGAGCAGGGAAGCAAAACTTCCTTGTAAAGGAGGAACACAATGGTGGGTCACACGCTCCAGTATAGGAAGAAAACAGAGGTTTTGCTATTCCTGTATTCTGGGGACACATTAGTATGAGTTTAATAATCTTCCCCTAAAGACAGCTCAGAGCAGAAAAAGTTTTGTCTAAAGCTGAAGAAAAGGGACCAAATATCTTGTTGTGCTTACTTCATTACATTAGTAGTACTGGTAATTCATGAATAGTTTTCATCCTGTTCTGTTGTATTTGCTCCTTCAAAAAGTCATTCTTTTCTGGTATTGGCTTTTGGATTTTTCCACCATCTAGACTAATACAAAAGACTGTGAATGCCTCTTTCCATTTTCCAGTCCTCCCCTTTTAATGTTCCATCTTATTTTAACTATTTCACCTTTATTTATTCAATATCCTCCCCTTTGCTCATGTGTCCTATTTGGAAAGTTTTCTACCATGTTTTCTACCACCTGCTTCTGTTTCTGTTACTGCATCTGAAGAGTGATGTTTCCATTTCTGTATACATTTGAACTGACCAACGATGTAGAGCAATTTTGCTCTTACTCTAATTTAACTAGTAGCTCTGGATTCCAGGGAAACTGTCCCCAAAATTTTCACATGGCTTTGCAATGGGAAACCATTGTGATGCTCTTCATACTCTTGATATGAAACACAGGTCATTTCTTCAGGCTGGGAGTATTCACCGAACAGAGCACACTTAGTGCAGAATAATCACTCACTCCTCAATTGAGAGTACAGTTGTACAAAGGACTGAGTTAGTGCCTCTGTGTTACTAGAAAATAGGCAAAGGAAATATTAGTAATTCAACTGTTAAAACATCTTTTTCATTAAGGAGCCTTGTTTTTTGTGAGTTCATGCCTTGTTTGTGCAGTACTTTTGCAAGGAGGTCTGTTGAAGTTAAAGGTTTAGCTTTTCTCCTGTGGCAACTCTGCTTGGTTCAGAGTGGGAAAGTGGGCTTTCTCCCCATTTCCACATCACAGTCGATCTGGCAAGAGCTTGTGCATCCTACAGGGTGTTGTTATTTACCAGAGTTGATAACAACTCCTCAAGGGTCAACAAAAGATACACAGAATTTAACTTGATTCTTGGTGTTGCTTTGTCTGATGTAGTCTTACAATAGATAGCTTCTTCTAAAGGGATCTTCTGCTATTACATGGTGAATACTGAGCTAGGGTAACAGTTGTTAGGAACATGGGTTTGTTATTTTGAGGATGAGATAAATTACATTAGAACAAATGCTGCTCAAGTATCGATTTAATATTACAGAATGAAATGGGAGGCTGCTTACAAAAACAATAAAAAATTCCTCCTATCATGTTATACTAAGACACAAGGGATGATTTGTTGTGGATTTTCAGGTTATTCAGAAATAACCTTTTTATTACATTGACAAAAGAAGAAACCTCAAGGGCTTGCTCTTTACAGTGGTGTGATAGGAACCTAAAGTGTGCCTGTTGAAAAATGAACTAGCTAACAATGGGAGCTTGGCAGCAACTTCACCATTTATAGAGAAACCGTCTATCTAGTACGATCTGTATAAAATAGACCTCGCTTAGGTTAGGGAAAGGTCACAAGTTACACAAAGTTTGGATAGTCTAAATGCGTTACTCAAAACTAACTCTCCTGTGTACAGTAAATATTAATTGAACCTGTATTATTAAAAACATGCCAAGATTCAAAAGATTAAATAAGGAAGATGTAATTATGAGCTACATAATAAACAGAGCAGTTTCAGTTCCCCTTGTATTTTTTACTTTCCTGGTATTGTTTCATATATGGCTGTTATACAAAGAGCAGCTGAGGTCAGCTACTATAAATTACGGTTTCGTACAATAGTAATTACCAAAATTATTCCAGAGCTGGATCAAAGAGCTTCAAAAGACTTTTCGAAAACTTTTCCACATGATAAAAAGACTCTATTTTGATGCCCTTTTTTTATGAGGATTCCTTGGTTTAGAGATGAGTCTTATTCAGCTGCTCGTGTTGATATGACGATATTTGAACACACAGGATTTGCATAATTTTTTTGCAGCCTCAAATAAGTATGAAGTGGTAATATCAAAAAAACTCTTTAATTACCTGGTGCATTTTTCGGGCTAAGTTTTTAAGTGATCTAAGTAAAAACTTTTGTTTGTTTATTTAAGGAAGCCAGCAATATTTCAAGTCATATGTGAATTTCTTCGGTTTACAAAGATACAAATCATATTTGCAATTATAACATTATTAAAAATTATAACAGTAATTCTTTGCAGCTCTCAGCTGGCATCATGTTCCTGCAAAGGATGCCTGCGTGCCCTCGCTTCTGGCCAGGCTTTCACCTGATGTGAACAATCACATGTCATCTGCACAGATCCATAGATGTGGCACTGCCATGTCAGCGCAAAATGAAATGTCAATGCAAGCGTATGGAGACGAAGTAACGGTATTGAAACCATGTCAGTGCATATCTACAGAGACCACGTTACTCTGTCAGTGTGATTTTAGGAAGATCACTTTGAAATGTTAAAATGAAATGAAACTAAGTCAATTAGGTAATAACAATTGAGGTTCAGGGATTAATTGAGGGTCTAAGGTGAAGCCAGTGGCCATTAACCCCAGCTAGTTATTAATTTTAGAGAAATAGAGAAATATCCTTGGCTAAGGTTATTGTCATTATTATTAGAGAGTTGTGGGAGTTTATTCCCTATATTGTATAAATACCTTTTGCTGTTGCTTTTAATAGTGATACACAAAGTGTGGTGTTAAAGGCATATTAGTGCAAAGTTAAGGTTTTTTAGAAAGTGAATCTACCCAATAGCAGACAGCCACTTCTTTTTTATACAGACATTTAACAGATTTTTATTGATGTCCAGCTGTCTGTAAACAGACAGATTTACTACAATGTATTTACCTCTGAGTAAGGCAGGAAAATAATACCAACATGGAGAAATACTCATTTACACAGCAGCAACTATTTGCATGGCCCAAGTATTCACTGTTGACTTAAAGCAGACATGAAAATTGGTCAAACAACAATATTAAAGAATTATATTTGAAAATACCTAAACAAGCACCAAGTCGAAGTTATAAACTTTATGCAAATTCAGGATTTCAGCGTATATGACTATAGCATTAGGACACAAATGTGTAATATATTATTCTTTTATAATGTCAATGAGAGATTCTTGCCAATAGCAATGACTCCGTAGTTCAACATGCTATGCAACACATGAAATCCATCTGGGTCTCTGTCCTAGGGAGAGAAGTCAGGACACTAGATCAAAGGAATGCAATTGTTTTCTTTTAAACTATTTATATGAATTTGTGTGTATTTTTATATGATGATAATATAAAGCAAATATACACAAACATTATTTTTGCTGTTAATAAACACCAACTACCCTTTCTCTTATAGAAGTCTCTGATAGATATTTGCTCAGTATAGGTGCGTTGGTGGAGGTCTTCTGGAAAGGGCAGTAAATCAACATTTTTTCCTGTTGTAGAAGGTGGTATCCTGTGTTTAAGTGTTGGTGAGAGCAGTGAGA